TCAAATTAGTTAATAAAACTTTAGATTTAAAGGATAAAATATATTATTAATCTAACAATCAATCATGACTTTATTGATCTAGAATAAACTAAAAAGCTTATCTTACGTTAATATAAAATTCATTAAAGGAAAGAAGAGGACTTGGTTTAAATTAGTTTGAATGAAAATATAAAAACGTTCAAGAAAGTTAACCTCAAGTAATTATTTCCCCCAAAGCCAATATTGCGAAAATATTATGAGTTTCCTTTCTTTAAAAACAAAAACAGTCAGGGGTTAATCTGCATGAAATCACATAGCCCTTTCACTCTGAAATCTAAAAAAGCCCGGTTTCTGGAGTCCTCTACCAAATCTCAGGAAAAAGGGGGTTTAGGGTTTTAGATCCAAAATCGCCGCCTCCGATCGCGATGGCGCTCTCTTCCTCAATCGCCCAATTCCGTCGGATTCTGAGAGTGCCTTCGTCGTCTTCTTCCTCTCTTCTCAAATGGAATATCCCCTTCTCTCAGAATCGCCGAAGCTCCTCGTTTCTCGACGACATGGACACCAGCGATAAAAATCCCCCTCCTTTGACTACGCCGAAGCTCTTCATCAGTGGTAAGATCTGATTTTTAGCATCTTTCATCTAAAAATCTCTAAACTTGCATGGTGGTTGATTCAATTGTAGCCTGCGGTCAGCGCTAGAACCCATTTTCGGAGCTAAACGTTGGATTTTTGTACAGAAACCGCTCATTCTTTCTTGAATTAGGATCATTTGATTGTTGCCTTCTATTAATATGGATATATTTTCTTCCAGTTCGTTTGTGATGATTTCTAGTGTTTGCTGTAGTTCGATTTCTTGTGATTTTGAGCTGGCCTTGCAGAATAAACTGCTTCGTTGAACAGGTTTTAGTTTTCTCATCAGTTTTAAATCTTAAAACGTTTTGTTGAGCCTTGGAAGCTATCTGATATACTCGACTAGAGGATTGGCGATAGGGGTTTTGAATATTAACGTCAACTGACTCGAAATCAAAACCCAAACTTGATGTGTCGAAAGTGCAGCACCACTAGAACATCCAGAAAGAGTCAGGTTCCTTGCAGCAAATCAACCATTAAATTTTGAACTACGCTAATTCAGGCCTTATTGTTGCTCTTTATTTGTGTTCCATTCCTCTTGGCAGTTCTCCTCTCAAAGTGTAGCCATGTTAATTCATAGGTTCAATGTTGTAAAGCAAGTAAATGTTTGTGGCGGAGCAACGTATAATGCATAAATACAATTATGTATGATGCCAATGTTACAGTAAGCGCTAGGTGCCGCTAGGCGTTGACCCGGTGCCTAGAGCCCTAGGTGGGGGGGGCTAAGCGGATTTTTTTTTCAATTGAAGGCGGAGGAGATTTTGTTGAAGGTTAGAGGAGGTGGAGGAGTTGGTGGAGGCGGCCATGACGTGGAGGCGGCAATGGATCCATGCTCCCCTTGGTGCTCCCAATGCGTAGAGGGGCAGCCTAAGTACCGCCTAGTTCTAGGTGGCAGCCTAGACCGTCTTTTAAAGCTATGTAAGATGCGTAGTCTAATTATGTGGAGACAATTTTTTTAGTATTTATACTAATATTAGATGCTTAATCTAGTTAATTTCAGGGAATAAAAAACTTTATATATGTAACTAAATGCCTGAACTTAGTAGCATGTGTTTACAAGATCTAACCTGGTTAGTAATAAACTGTGACCTATAAACAACATCAAGTTGTCAATGTAATAGTATAATACTATAATCTCAATCCATCATCAACTTCAACAATTGATTCTCACCTCCTGAGTCCTGACTACCTGTTTTCTTGTGTTGCATTTGTTTGCATGGCAAGTTTCCTGTGATTGCTCACTAGTTTGAAGACTTGAAGGACAATAAAAGCCATCGTGCACAAGATAAACAAATAAAATTCAAAAACAAGTAAAATTAATAAGGTGGGAAATAAAAAAAGTACACATTGCTAAAGTATTAGTTGCTTCTATAAGACAAAGCAAGGAAAAAGAATCAACTCCCTTTTTACCTAAGGAGAGGGAGAGGGAGAGGGAGAGGGAGGGGAGGGTTGGGGAGGGAGATTTTCTTAGAGCATGTTTGTCTAAGGTTCAAGTGGTTTATAAGACATTTTTTGAGGCTTATGTTTGGCAAGTGATTCATTTTGGCTTAGTCCACCAAAAAATAAGCTAGGGTACCCCTAGCTTATTTGTTGGTGGATTATAAATCATGAGGTATAGCCAATAAACCATGAGGTGTGGCCAAGTAAAAGACAATTATACCCTTATGATTTCACAAAATCTAAGGTCTAATTTAATAACTCACTACCAAGGCCATGTTCTTTTCAGTCATTTTACAAAACGAGACTTTGTGGAAAAGCATGCATTCAACGACGGCGCACATACCACAATAAACAATGATGAATTATAATTCGTTCATTTGTCAAACACTCTACTATTGAAAATGGATTATAATCCACAAATACATTTACTGAACAGTCTAGACTATAATCCATCTGGATTATAATGGATTATGATCCAAAGTTGCCAATCATGCTCTTAGTATTATTTGCGTTTTAGCATTTCCATATGCCATCTTTTGTCAGTTACATGTCCATCTTGCTGCTCTATCACTAGGTTGGCTGTTACAATGTTTACTTGCCAATATTTAGTTAAGTGAAACGGGCTTACTATTTTGCTACCTTGCTTTGAACTTGTGCCTGTGACCACCCACATCCTGAGCATGATGATCTGAACTACCATCCAAGTTCCTTAACTGTGTTTGCTTTCTAACATTGATGACCTGTAATACACGAAACAATGTTACGCACATCTCTACAAGGGAATTCTGAATAACAAATACAAAAAATGGTTTTTTCCAAAAAAAAGCAACTTTAAAATAGGGTGAAAAATATGAAACTGTCTTTCAAGTTCGATTTACATAGAAGGCATCTTTAAAGAGGTTTCCGGTTGCAATCAACCACCTTGACCTAAGTTATATGAAATTTCAATTGAAATCTCAAAAATACCCTTAAAATATGCATATTTTTCGGTGTATTTTTTAGGGCAATTTTGAAATTTCAAACAAAATTCAACCAGAAAATAGTCTAGATGGTTGATTGTGACCAGAACTGCCTTTAAAGATGGTTTATTTATAAATTGATCTCGAAAGGTGGTTCTTGTATTTTCACCCTATTTTAAAGGTGGTTTTTCGTGAAAACCCCCTAAAAATGACATAGCAAGAACTGTTGCATTCAGTATGATGTCTAGCATGATTCGACTTCACAACAGGTTGTCTGTACATCCTTGGTGATGGACTGATCCTTGACAATAGAGCTACTGCAACAAGCAGATAACTGAGTCTAAACTTGCCTTTGTTTTTCTGTTTGGGGACTCCTTGCAATTGATGAATAGACGGGCATGACCCCTTCGATAATGCTTACCCTGTGAAAACTAGCAAAGATGCTTTAGTCTCATCTTCGAATTAAAGAACTGGAGACATCTGGTTGCATATCCATTCAAGTTTAGCATCACGTCCTTCGGTTCTTATCAAGTTCCAATTTTTGGACCTGGTGTGGTCTTTGTTGTTCCCAGATTGAACTTGATCCACCTGACTGATAGTACTTGTCAAGTATTTTGATGTTCTCACTCAGTCACTTGTCAGAAATGGTAAACAAAACTTTCTCCTATCTTGACCAATGCATTATCTTTATTCTTGTTTCTTTCAGATATTTCATAGGTTGAGTTCTAAAATTAGACGACTGAACTGATCTTATTTACTGAAGTAGTGGACATAGAATATGCCTCTCTTTACTTTATGCTTTTGCATGTGTTCCAACAATGTATAAAATATTATACTTTCTCAAAATTTGAAATTGGATAAATTAAATTCCGAGTTCATTGAGAATGATAATTGTTTCCTAACATCAATCTGAGCATTCAAATTGTTGAATTGAGATGCAGGAATCTCTGACTATTTTCAGCTTTCATTTGAATGCTACAAAACTATGTTGAAATTTTTCATTTGTTCGAGTTTTATCAATACAACTAAAAAGTTTAAAACGTGAGAGTCAATAGCTAAATTTAGAACATGAAACCTTGGCCTAAAAGAAGTGTCGAGGATTCTCCATCTATATGCTGGCAGTAAATCCTGAATGATGTCCTAATTTTTCTGCACACAGGGCTTTCAAGGTTAACCACCGACGAAAAACTAAAAGCGGCGTTTGAACCTTATGGGCAGCTTCTTGAAGGTTATCTTGATACACTGACGCATCCTTTGTGTTCTCTCTATCTCAGTTTTGCTTCTCCTCTTCCCGTCATAACTTTGCAATGTTTATAATAATTTGACAGCAAAAGTGATAACGGATAGGATCTCAGGGAGGTCAAAGGGTTTTGGGTTCGTCTCCTATGCAACCATCGAAGATGCAGAAAAAGCACGAGCAGGGATGAATGCTAAATTCTTAGATGGATGGGTTATTTTTGTCGACCCTGCAAAGCCGAGAGAGCCAAGGCGTTCACCTCCTCCTCCAGCAAACCCCTATGAAGATGGTATCAGATCAAACAAGACGATTGGATGGTGTGGATGATTGATTCTAGGGTTGCATCCATAAGAAAACTGAAGAACATTCCCATGGCAAATTAAAAAACTAAATTAAGTCTTTTTTTTTCCCCTTCTTCTATTTAAGCCAAAATTCATAAACTGCTGATGGAATGTACCTGTAAGGACTCAGATTATGCACGTCAAGGGTAATATTAATTTGAGATTAAATTAAAACTCTATCAAAAAGGTGACTTTGGTTTCATTTTGAGGATAAACAAACTGGTTTGAATTATCAGTTATCAAGTGCTGCAACTGAAAGTCCAGGCTGTGGTGGCTGAAATCTGTTTTCTTATTTCCAATCGAGATGTATGAGTACTTTCCCCCCTTTATTTCACTTTATGTCAAATTATAAAACCCATATAAATTTCTGAGATGTGTAAAGTATCATTTAGAAGAATAATTTGGGTCCTATTTTTCCCTTGACGTGAAGGCTTCTTCTGTTATTATTATTGTTTAATCATTATTGTCCATTGCTTTCTTTCGGCCAACTGTAGAAGCATTGTTACAGGTTGGCCACGAGTTTAAGTGGTCGTTGATGGTGGGCTTCTTCCACAGGTTCAACGTTTTGTATTTGTACGGAAAAGGCCATTTTTGATTGAACTGTTCAACCAACATTCCCTCTGTGATGCTTGCTAGCCTTGTATTGTTAGAGTTTATAATAGCGTAAAACTGTTGAAATATTTATTTGGTAATTACATAGTAAAAATTAATTAGGAAAGCAGTTAATATGTTTGATGGAACCGTGCTTAATGATCATTGTTAAAGGTCGGTTTGAATACCAAGAAGGGGAGGAGTGATTGATGTAAACCCAAAGGAAGTGGAAAGTGATGGGGTGAGATCTATTTAATTGTGTTTGAATAGACAACAAGGGGATTAGAGTGTTCACTATAATATGTGTTTATTTTAGAGTAAATGATGAAAAGGAAAGGGAAACTACTTTACTAATATGCCATTTTAAAGAAATTACATAACTTCTATTAATTATGAGTTTTTAGTTTTCTAGTAGGGTGATATTGAAATTTTAAGAAAAATTCACTCTAATCTCTCCCATCCCTCACAATCTGTACACTTTAGGAGGGTTACGTAAATGGATGAATTTTTTTTTTACTTTTTAGCTCTCCTTCCCTCCATTGCTAATTAAAAAGTATAAATAACACAATGTTAGGAGGGTTAACATTGTAAATGCCCCTTTTCTCTCCTCTTAAAAAACTTTATCTAAACACAATGTAAAAGATCAAAGATACATATGGAAAATAAACTAAAACAAATCATATATATATATATATATATATATATGGAAAATAAACTTTAAAAAAAGTAAAATTCGTTTTTAAAAGCACCTCAATGATGCTTCTAAAAACACCAAGTAGATGCAGTTTGTTTCAATAATTATTTGAAAAAAGTTTTTACTAAACATTATTAATAGCTATTTTTAAACAAATAAACAGAAACACCCTAAAAAAAATATCAAACTGACCCTTAATTCACACAAAACGATAGCAAACACGAAGACCCGCAACTTTAGTGCTTCTAATAAGAACCAGAAAGAAAGAACAATAGAGTCTCCGGCCTAATATAGATGATCTGTATAGTATAAGTGATAACAAACTTTAAACTAGGGCCTTTATATAATCTATCTAATTCTCAGGGCTAATTTGGCCACGACGAAAACTACAGTAGATTTTATGATTCGTGAGTAGGGGTGCCAAACCGTATTCGTATCCGAGGAAATATATGTAACCGTATCCGTTAGGATACGAATATGGTTACTCAAATCTATTACCGATAGGATATGATTGCGGATATGGTTTTGTTGTGAAATATCCGTATCCGTATTCGAAAATATCCATATTGGTAATACTCTTACGATAGTTTCGATTCATAGATTATGGATTTGTGGTTAATTTTGATGATCAAGATGTCTAATCTTAGCTTTTCAATCATAATGAACATAATATGTAACCGTATCCGTTAGGATACGAATATGGTTACTCAAATCTATTACCGATAGGATATGATTGCGGATATGGTTTTGTTGTGAAATATCCGTATCCGTATTCGAAAATATCCATATTGGTAATACTCTTACGATAGTTTCGATTCATAGATTATGGATTTGTGGTTAATTTTGATGATCAAGATGTCTAATCTTAGCTTTTCAATCATAATGAACATATTAACGAACTCTTTTTGTATCACATGACTATATTTTTCTAAATACTATCTAGTTTTCTCATATCCTTTTTGTATCCACATGCATATCCGTTTATATATCTGCATCTATATCTGTAACCGTATCCGATTTTGGCGGATATAGATATGAATTTTTCTTACCGACGTATATCCGTATCCGTATCCGTATCCTAGATGGGTAAACGGATATGGATATGGTAAGTGCCGTATCCGAGCCGTATCCGCTCTGTTAACACCCCTATGAATTAGGGGTGGGCAAAAACCGAAACAAACCGGTTCAACCGAAAAAACCGCCCGAAAAAACGGATCGGTTAACCGAACCGAATTAAATGGATGAGAAGAAGTCTCTAAACCGCCCGAACCGAATTAAACTGGTTTGGATCTGGTTTGAACCCCTGAACCGCCCAAAAAAAACCGAACCGAATTCTTAAACAAAAAGTAGCTGCGAGCCTTGGGTGTGAAGAAAATTTATGGCTGAATGTTTAGCATTTAAGAATTGTGGGGTGGAGTTTATACTAACATATATTTGAGTACGCTGATATAGTTAAGTGAGATTTCCATAAATCAATACAAGATGTTGAGGTTGAAGGATAAATTTAGTGTTTTGGTCAAATTTCAGTGATAACATGAATACAGCTTGCTGGTGCTGGATATCAAATTAACCTATAGTATAAGCTGTCAAGGATATAAGATAATTCTTGATGAGAAAAAGGCAGCTAAAAATTAACGAAAATCATCAAAAGGTGTGTGTGTGCCTGCCAAACATTGTTCTTTCTCTAAAAAAGGCTACATAATTACATGGTTCTCCTAGTGTATTAAGCTAGTTATATTCAGATCATACAATTTGATTAAGTGGCTTAGTACAGTTTTGATTGTTTCTTTTCAGTTTTGATTGCTTCTTTTCAGTTTTGGATATAACTAAAACTTACCCAGATTTTTGTGAAATGGAGTTAATTCGGTTCAAAACCGAAACCGAACCGAACCGAACCGAATTTCGGTTGGGCCGAATATTCGGATGAAGGGGAAAAAATCTGGATATGGATGAGAGTTTTGAGAATCCGAAAAATTCGGATTGGATGCGGATTGGGCTTAAAACCGAACCGAACCGAATACGCCCAGCCCTAGTATGAATCGTGAGTCAATAGCAGCGAAACAATTTACTGAAACAAACCCGGTCCAATTAAACACGGGCCCATGAAAAGGCTGGTGGCATGACTCGTAATTATCTTGATGGATTAGAAGTCGCGGTCACCGGTGACGTGCCAGTCATCAGTAGGTCAGACGTTGCTTTTACGCTGGAAAAATATTAATTTTAATTAATTAATATCGCCCACGCCCCACCACGGCCTTTTATTCTCTCTCTCTCTCTCTCTCGCATTTTCTTTTTTTTTTTTTTAAATTCTATTTTCCCTTCTTCTTTTTCTCAAAATTTTTAGCCTCTGAAATTGAATTTTTTTACTCCTAATAATAATAACTCCCCTCAAAGCCCTATATTTTCTCTCAAAAATATCCGCGTACTCCCTCTGTAGCTCTCCAACCTCGCTCTTCGAAAATGGTGCGTGTCTTTTCTCCAGCTCTAGGGTTTCTTTGTTTCTCGGGGCTTTTAGCTTGGATTTTAGAGATTCATTTTGTTTAAATTTTGGTTGCTTTCTTGAGATTTTAATGGGATTGTTCTTCTCTTGATCTAGTTTGAGATCGATCACGCGGTGTCATTCGGTTGCGTGTGAGTGATTTCTATCTTGATGAAATTATTGGTAATGCTTGAATGTTAGGGTTAATAGATGATCGGACTGATGAGAGAATGTATGAGATCGTTGGGGTAATTTTTCTTGAATTTTAGGGATTTTTCGTGTATCTGTAGTGTAGATCTTGCGTTGTGAATCTTGTGATTGAGAGAGTGCGTGGATTCTACGTGTGTTGATTGCTTAAGCTTTTAGTCTTTTTTTTTAATTATCTTTTTGAATCCATAATTTTCTGCGACAAATGTCATTCTGTTGATGTGTGAACCTAACGTCGATCAGATCAGATTATAGGTCGAGTTTAGTCTTATCTGCTTATAATTCGATTTTAAATTGCTTGAGAACTTGGAAACACTTGGTTAGTTGAATTAGTTGTAACCTGTTCACTCTTTTCGTTTGTTGGGGTCAATTTCAGGCCAATGCGGCGTCTGGGATGGCTGTGGATGATGATTGCAAGCTGAAATTCTTGGAGCTGAAGGCGAAGAGGACTCATCGTTTCATAGTTTTTAAGATAGATGAGAAGCTGAAACAGGTTGTTGTGGAGAAACTTGGTGAACCCACTATGAGCTACGAGGATTTCACTGCGAGCCTTCCTGAGAACGAATGCCGATATGCGATTTATGACTTTGATTTTGTCACCGAGGAGAACTGCCAGAAGAGCAAGATCTTCTTCATTGCTTGGTAAATTTCTAAATTGTTCTTTAATATATGGATTTAGGTTGCAGTAATGATTTGTATTTGTTTTCCCTTGCATGAAGGTCTCCAGACATTGCGAGGGTGAGAAGTAAGATGCTCTATGCAAGCTCCAAGGACAGGTTCAAAAGGGAGTTGGATGGTATTCAGGTGGAGCTGCAAGCCACCGATCCTACGGAGATGGGCCTTGATGTTATCCGAGGTCGTGCCAATTGAGTATGTTTCTCATTGCGGTCTGGTTGCTTTAATGATGTTCATAGTTCCGTGGGTGGCGACTTTACTAGATACCACATAGACTTGTGGTTTCAGGTTATATTACATACAAACTTTCCTGTTCTTAACCCTATGTTGTTGGGCTGTCGTATGATTTGTTATTTTGTGGAATCTATGTGATGAATCATGAATGTATGTCTACTTGTAGCCTGACATCTACAAGCTCATGACATGTAACATTTTATGTTTAGCCTGTAGGGAAGCACTCCCTTTTCTATATTTTTGTAGTGAATGCTTGATCCTTTCGATGTTGGCGTGTTTTGAAATACACATATGGTTTAGTGCCTTCCATCTTTGATCCTCTCATTTACCTTTGTAAGCAATGGGCATTGTTATTACTTGCTCGCAAGCTTATTTTGTTTGCAGTATGCCAACAAACTCTATAGGTTTACTTTTATTAGGATGACCCTTTTTTATTTAACCCTCTAGTGTATTTGTGTGGGTGGGGGTGGGGGTGGGGGTGTGGGTGTGTGTGTTTTGATAGGTTTTTAGTATATGACTATATATCAAGTTGTAAGATCTGAACTCTAAAATGCAATCTAAGTTCAGTCTGCTAGATAAGTTTTTTTTTAATTTAATATAAGCAAGTGTTTTTGCAATTCATCAACATGACGACATGTGAGATCAGTGCTACAAGGGTGACATATGTGAAATAGATGGTGTGTTGTCCTAGAAAACAACATGGAAGCATCTAGGTAGTACTTGTATCTCGTTGGATATATACATTTGATGAATTGGTGGAACCTACGTCAGTATTCCAAATATTATGGGTAAGGGAATGTTTCAAGGTTCATAAAGCATTCAATGTTTGATATATTGTAGCTCTAAAAGAATTGTATATGAATCCAAATGTACAGAGAAAATAATTGTTGCTATACTGCTCATTATTCAACTCATGAATCTTGAAGCTTATACATCAGTTCATGGGTAGCGTCTAAAGCCAAGTGTTTATTTAAAGTGGATTTTCTATATGCATGTCTGGATTAAATATAGGAGTGAGCTTGTTATTGTTTGGTTGAGCATTGTATTAAGTAATAGCCATGATGCAGAGTTACTTTGTGCCTGATCAGAATGATTATGATTATTTAATGTGGGTTTTCTCTATGCATGTCTGGATTAAATATAGGAGTGAGCTTGTTATTGTTTGGTTGAGCATTATATTAAGTATTAGCCATGATGCAGAGTTACTTTGTGCCTGATTAGAATGATTATGATATGACGATATGTCACGTAACTAAAGTTTGCTTAAGGTGGAATTTCAATTTTTTTTTTTTTTTTTTGTTGATATACATGTACCTGAAAGTGTGACTTATATATGAAACTTTTTGTTTCATTTTTTTTTCTTCCAAATGTTTCATAATGATGGAAATTCAAAGAAGCTTCCCTGGTAAAATAAGATGAAACCATTACACTTGGTTGGTTAACCAGGAATTCGTTTTTATGGTTTTAGTGTAAGCATAGTTCAGTCCTCCTTATAGTTGTTGTTAACCAGGAATTGTCATAATGTGTTGTGTGGACGGTTGGTGTTTCTGTTATGGTTTCCCCACATAGAATCATGTTATTATTGGCCCGGTTTGATAGGAGAAGAATTAACTGAGGATGAAGTTAAGCAAACTGACTGCTAGTCCTGGGCATCGATTTTCATCTCCCATACAAGGTTGAAGAGTACTTGGACTGTGTTTTGTGCTCTTTTCTCTTCGTTATATGAAAAATGGGATGTTGGCAGTGAGTGTGGGTAGTTATGAGCACAAAGTATAATCAAGCTTCAGGAGGGATGAGTCAATCATGTTATTCGTAATTTTCATTGGTAACAGGGTGATATGAAATTGAGTGATATAGCAGAAATCAGCAAAATTGGGATCTACATGCCAGGTTGCTCTAATGGGATAGCCATTGATGTGAATATTGGAAATTGCGGGACCTGATTGTCAGAATTGGATATCTGCTAAGGGGTTTTTTCTGTGTACTTTCATCCTCTCAAAGATCTCATCTTTGGATCCTTAACATACTGTTGCAAGATGATTTGACTTGAAGTTTGGTTTGAGGGGAGAAAAAAAAGGCGGATGGCAGTTTGCTTTAGAATTTGGTTGTGTGTGGATACAATAGGTTTTAGAAGTTGAGAAATGTTGGTAAACGAGGTAAAGCTGTGTTTATGCCTAGAAAGAGGGAGAGCATGAGGATATTGACATTAATTGATCCGCTCGACACTCTTGTCTCCTGTTTCCTAGCTTCATTTGTTTCATTCAAACCGTGTTTTTCTGTTAACTGCTATCCGTGTATCGCCTTCCTGGTATGTTTGGATGATGTCTTACTTTGTCAGGAATACTAGGGTTTTGTTATTAGATTCTAGCTATATGCCTGGGCTCTCTCTTTTTTTTTTTTTTAAGGTGGGACTAAATGTCCGGATTACAGTCCGTCTTGTGGTGCTCCAAAGAATACCCGCCACCCAGACAATCTAGTTTCAGGGATCGGTCTTTGGCAAACCTGAAGTCAATGTGCGCGATGATGTTTTTTTCCTACCTGTAGAAGAATCGCTGGTTTGCTTATTTACTGAAAGCCTTTAGAGGAAGTGGTACTTGACTTAACTTGTGGTTTATTGATTTGTTTACGTATAAAAAGCCTCCAGAGGAAGAACTTGACGTATTTGGTTATATTGATACGTCTAGGTGTAAAAGCTTCATGTTGTCTTTTAACTTTTGAATGGTACTAGGACTCAGGGGTTGAGAATTGGGAGCCAAGTGAACGAAGTTCGTCTGCTTTTACAGTTTGTATTTCCATTTTGCAGCCTCAGAAATTTTGTCTAAATTTGAGTCGGTGTAGGCTTACGTATTTACTTCCCAGCTTAAAATTCTGAAGTGATTGATGATACCAATTCAGGGTATCATGCGGGTTCTGGTCTGCATAGGCCATATCGTAGTAGGTCTATTGAGTTGAAGGAATGAGTTCGTCCGTATCACCTGAGGAAATGAAAACCTACTTGTGTATGCACATAATACACCTGCAGTTTCGGCGGTGCACCTGATTGTGTTTTATTATAAATAGCACCTAGCAACCTACATCAGCGTGCGTAGACGAAGCAAATTACTGCACGTTAGGCCTTGGTGGTACTTAAGACCGCTGCCTAGGCCTTGGAAGAGCCCAAGGTAACGCGGACCTTCACACCGATTGAGCCGTTTAGATCTTGATTGTGATTTCTTCCGTTGCGACCTTCCCGTCATCCAACCTCCTCTCAACTCCTCCGTCCTGCTCCACCAACTATGAACACATCCTCTGACCTCCCGGAAAGTCTCTTCCACTACCATTTAAACAAGAGCTTTGCTACAGGGACCTAAAATATGGGACCAATAGAGGGGACAAGTGAGGTGTCCCCCTCCTATTGGATAATGAGTTGGCCATCATTAATGATGGCCAACTCATTATCCAATAGGAGGGGGACACCTCACTTGTCCCCTCTATTGGTCCCATATTTTGGGTCCTTGAGGAATTTCTTTTTAAACAAAGCAGGAAACCTACTTACCACTTAAAAATGAGACTGTCTAGGCACTTAGGTGACGCATCTAGAGCTTTTATGGCATGGACATTTATTGTTAATTATTGTACTAACAAAAAAGGGAAAATCGTTCAAGTCCCATTTAGGCTGTAGACGCGGGGTCCTACGCCTGTGCTACCTACTACTTTCAGTAACCTTGGGTATATATGCTCTAAAGCTTGGACTGAAGTTTACAGCAAAGATCTGTAGTTAGTTTGCGGCTCAAATTTAACTTGGGAAATTAGAGTGGTTCTCTGTGCTTAAAGCTAGGTCCACGTGAAAGCTCTAAAATCCCTACTAAGTTATCATGTCATTGATAATCCATGCATTGTAACACACAGTAGCTGCATGTTTTAACTTGCCAAATAAATTAAATTAAATTAAATTAAATTAAATAATTGCACGCATTTCATCGAAAGCTTGGGCTTAGGGGCTGTTTGGTTGTTGTTGGTAAAGCTGTGTATGTATGACACAACTTGGAAAGTTGTTGTCCAACTCATCAATTTTACTTTTATACTTTTCTTTGTTTGTTTTTTATTCCATTGGAATCATAAATTGCTTGTTTTGTTTGCAAATGTAACTTTAATTATTTGTTTGGAAAGTGTAAAAAGTGGTCCCTACACAAATGATCATATTGGTTGGAATTATTTTTTATTATTTTTTCCTGATTTCAATGTCAGCTTTCTCCTAAAATCATGTCTTTTTTTTATGAAATCACTTTACAAGCCACATCAGCATATGAAATCACTTTACACTATTTTCACAACTACAAACAAACAATTGAAAGTGATGAAAGCTGACATTGTGACCCACTTTTTTACACTTTCCATCCTTTTACATGGTAAAAACATACAACCAAACAGTCCCTTAAAGGCTATCATAGAGCAAGCAACGCTTCTTAGGTTGAGATGTAAGTAACATGTCCCATGGATAAAAAAAAAAGTCATCAAAAAGCTCATATTACTCGATGAAGTATTGAGGTGACTACGCAGCATTTTGTGATAAATACGACCTTGGCTTCTATCACCAATAATCTTTACAAGAACACACCCCATCCTTGAAGTGATGAAACCTATTCCTATCACGCAGTACAATCTCCCTCGCCACAACCTGGGACATAACTTTCATATAATCATGACAGTCTTTACAAACCCTCAAGTTCTTCACAACTCTAATAGTAGCTCCCTCCTCAGTACTAACCAGCCCAAAAGCCACAGCGAGCTTCTCACTGTGCATAGCCAACGCGTTCTCCTTCTCCTCCTCATCTATACTTTGACACACCAAACTAGTATTCGGAACGTATCCTGCGAGCTTCATTCTCGGTGCCAACGACCTTATCATCGCATAAATCTTACCGGATTGCGGATGAGATCGATCCCCCATGAGAAATTCATACACTGCATTGTCTATCTCGATCCAGCTGCAGCCGGGTGTCTTCACAACCTGTTTCTCCCTCATCCAAACCCGATATTTTGCTGCTTCTTCAAGCTTCCCTACTGAAGCGTACGCGTTCGCTAAGTAAATATGACTACCTGAATGATCAGGATCGAGCTGTAAAATTCGATGGGCCGCTCTCTCCCCTCTATCAACATCACCATATATTCGACAACCACCTAGAAGAGCACCCCATACTATAGCATTCGGCGATACTCTCATCGACGAAATCAGGTTCTCAGCCTCGTCGAGCCTCCCAGCTCGACTCAATAGGTCAACTACACATCCATAATGTTCAACCTTTGGATCGATCCCAAACTCTCTACTCATCCTATCAAAGTACTCAAGACCATCATCTACGAGCCCAGCATGAGTACAGGCCGATAATATACCCATGAATGTTATATCATTCGGCTTAGTCCCTTGTTGCAACATCTCGTGAAAGCACGCAATCGCTTCATTCCATAACCCGTGCATTGCAGTGCCGGTAACTATTATGCTCCATGAGATCACATCTCTCTCCGGCATTTCATCAAACACTTTTCTAGCCTCAGCAATGCACCCGCATTTCGAATACATATCCGAAAGTGCATTGCCCAGAAAAAGGCCTAAACGCGTCGATGCTCGTTCGACGTACCTGTGAATCCATTTCCCTAAACCTAACGCGCCTAAATTCGCACATGCTGATAGAACAGATACAAGGGTTACCTCATTAGGCTTCATTCCTTCAACCTGCAACATCCTCCTAAAAATCTTAACGGCTTCAGAAAACCTCTCATTCTGCGCATACCCAGCGATCATCGCGTTCCAGCAAACCACATTTCTCTCCGGCATTCTCTCAAACAACTCTCGAGCAGCATCCAAATCCCCCGATTTCGAGTAGCCCGCGATCATAGCCGACCACGACACGAACGATCTCTCGCTCATCGAATCAAATACTTCCCTCGCAATCCCCGCCTGCCCACAACTGGAGTACCCGGCGATGAGGGTGTTATACGACACGACATCTCTGATGGGCATTTCATCGAACAGCTTGCGGGCGACGCTCTGCCGGCCGAGCTTGAAGTACATGTCTACAAGCGAATTGCGGACGAACAAATTGACCTCGACCCCAAGTTTAAGGACATGGGCGTGAGAGATCTCGCCGTCAACAGGCGAGAACAAGCCGGCGCAGGCTTTGAGGACCGAAGTGAAAGTGAACTCATCGGGGAATTTGGGGGAGCGGGTTCTGACGAGGAGGTTGAAGTAACGGAGGGTTTGCCTGAAGAGGGAGTTCTGAGAGAGGGATTTGAGGAGGGAGTTCCAGAGGATGAGGCTGGGGTTGGGGAGGAGGGAGAAGGTGAGGAGGGAGTGGGTGGGGCTCGA